TGGCAGAAATCATTTCATGTTCTTCCTGTTAGTCTTCTGCCAGCTTAGTGTCCTGCATCAGCTCACTGAAGAGCCAGAGGTGACAGGGCTTAAGCTGGCACAAGGGAAGAGGTGCAACCGCATAGCAGGGACATGGAAAAGAGGAGAGGACAAAAGGAGAGAGTGGGTACTGCCCCCCGCTCAGCCACAACCAGCTCTTAGCTGGCTCAGCTCATCTTGTCCAGCCACATACTAGGATGGGATAGGCTGACATAAAGAGCGCAAAATAGTTCTCATGGGCTCCAACTGCGCTGATGAGGTTTGAAGATTTTTTTTTTAACAGACAATACTAACCATACAGTACAGTACACTAATATAGAGTACAGTATGGAGTATAAACTCTTAAAACCAGCTAACATATCTTAAAACTTTGTGCATATGTGTGTTCGTAGCTGACAAGATCCCTTCGAGAGATAAAGGTTACACCTCTGCACTGCTGTTGTTAGTGTTTCTGATACTCTTACTCACAAGGTATTATCGATTTGCCAGGGCAATGGCACTGGCCTGTAATCAGTATTTTTCACTTTCTCTCCGAGATATTCATAAGAACAGTCCAATTAATGATTATTTATGGCTCCCATCTGGAGTCTCAGATGTGGTTTCTAGGTGCATCTCTTGTTACTCTCAGGTTTTAGCTACCAGGAGGATGGAGGGACCTTTCGGAGCTGTTAATACTGATAACTCTCTGTGTGTTTCCCTATCACTGATGCAGAATTTCCATCTCCAGGCTCTTTCAGTATAGAAACAAAAACCTGTCTGAATTTCTCTCCAGTCAAAAGATGTTATATTAGTAGGTAAACAGCACAATGGGGAGTATGAGCACTTGTGGCCAGGCCAGAACTTCAAGAATTCCTTGCAGCTTCTGGATTTTCAGTGTTTGCACAGTTGTTTATATGCTGCTGAGCAGAAGTTTGAAGCTTTGAGAAGAAGAATTCAATCAAAGTTACATTCTGTTTCTCCGTTCAGAGTATAAAAGGAAGATCTTACCCAGCTTAAATTATTGATCTCAGTCTACTGTTTTCAGTAGCTCAAACATGTCCATTATTCCTGTAGGTCTCTAAGAATGCAGGATTGTTTTGTGCCACCTCGGAAAATATGAAAAAACAGTATCTCAGACTGTGGAAAAGGATGCGCTTTTCTGCAATCAGCTGTTGCAGTCACTTGTCTTCAATACTTCCCATGCCCAGATTCCTGTAACAAGTTATTCCAAAGAAAATGCCTGAAGGTTCCAGGGTTTCCACAGAACTATCTATTTCGCAAGAATGACAGACTGTTGGGAGTTCACTAGAGGAATAAGGAGTTCACTCCTTATTCTGTACTCATCATTCATAAATTTTTAGGCAAAGTTTGAAACACTGAGTACAATCCTTAACACCTTGAATGATCTTCTTGCCTTCAAAATGATTATGTGAGGTTCTTTTATTTTCAATTTCCAATGTAAAGATCTCAGGAAAAAAAAAAAAGGTTATAAGGTTATTAGCTTATTCACAGCAGAAATCAGTAAGACCTACCAGAACCCAGTTACTGTATTTTTCAGGGAATATTGTTAAGACTGTGGAGACCTGGATCAGAGTGGTTTTGGCAGCAAATGAGCTAAGTCAAAATGATTTGCAGCTTGGTTTGCTTAGGTGGAAGTAGGGGAGAGAAGAGAATTAGTCTGGATTTACAGAACACTGAGGCTTCTGTTTTGAAATTATTTTTGGATGAGTATCTGGGCAGACTCTTTTCTAACCTATTCTGGATGCACTGGATATCTTTGCTCTAATAAAAGGAGTTCTGACCTCTCAGAAATAAAATTGGCAGGTTTTGTTTAGATAACCATCAAAGTAAGTAGAAAAGACAGAAAGAGGGAGATTTGTCCTAATTTCAGCCATCTGAGAGGCATTTCTGAGACAGCATAGTAAAAAGCAGAGTTGTTCTAAAAAACAGTTTACTTTTGCCTAACAATGTAGCCATGCAAAAAAATTTAAAAGTTTGGAGAAAAAGCAAGAAAAATAGACTCTTCAAAATTTTCATTCTGTAGTGGTGAGTAAAAGATATCATATATAGTATCATGATGACAAGATTTTCCTAAGGATTTTTTTCGTAAGAAATCAGTTTTGCACAATACAGCTGATGTTCAAGAGTTAACTCAGAAAACAGAAGTTTCATCTTATGTCAGAGTATATATTTACAATTCAAATAAGATCAGATAATTTGACAGTGATGAGTGTACTGATAAAACCTATGAATCCTACAAACTCTCTACTCTTATGGTCTGAAAAATAAAGAACACAAGGAGAAATTTCTTGCCAGCTACTTAGGACAGAAGGCAGAAAGACTAAAACCTTCTTTGGCCAGTCGTTCAGGACACTATCAGAGTATCTGAAATCACAACACATCTGTAGGCATTTTAACTGTCCAAATTATCACTCGGTCAGAAAACACAAAGGTCTAACAGGAAGAGACTTCTGCATTAGCAAGCAGAAAACTTAAGACCTAAAAGGAGAGATAAGCAACCATGAGCCTATGACAACCAGAATGCAAATAAATGATTAAGAAAGACAGAATAAAAGGAAAGTTTGATCAGGACTAACAAGGAGCTGCTGTTATTAATCCTAGAAAAGCATAGGTTCACAGAAGAAGAGCAGCGTAAAGGATTAGGTAGTCATGAATCATTACTGGTCCACATTTTCACGTCTGGAGTGTCCTTCTATCGTTCACGATATCCCAGCTAGGGTTGGTCTTGTGAGCTACAGTGAAAGTTAGGATGGCAAAGTAACCTTTTAAAACTAATAATTAATGTTTCAGCCATAAAAGGAAAGCATGACAAGTAGAAAAGGCATTGAGGCAATCTATGCATGTAGACTTAGGTCAACACGGCTTATCTCAGGTATCAAAACTTCTGCTTGAAGAAGCAGCCTCCGCCCCTCATTCCTTACTCTCAGGTACTGTGTTTTAAACCACCAGTCATTTTCATGCCCTTCCTTTTTCTACCCTTCACTTCCTCTATTCTTCCTTAAGAGCAAAAGTCAGCATGAATAGAAGCAAACTTTCTCAACCTAAGTGACATCATTATCGTCAAGTACCACTAAATGGGCTATCTGAAGCTAACGTATGCTTTTCAGTTTGTATATTTTCAGCGGGGCATCTTGAATTAGTCCATTGTAATTCTAGAGCAAAAGCAGATGGCTGTATAGTTTTGTAACCATGTTATAGGGATCTCCTAGTTGCTTCACATAAATGTAGACAAATTGGTAAATGAGGTCTGGTGGAAGAAACCACTACATCAGCAAGCAGAAGAAAATAGGTCCCCGAGGAGTCCTAAAAACGAGGCATAACTTCTTTCCAGAGGAAAACAAAGAACAAGAATGCAAAGAATAAGAAACAGCCAGTCTATCTCCATATGGGACAGCTCAAAGGAAGAATGGAAGACAGAAAGGGGAAAGGAAGAGTCATAAAATAGAGGGCAGAATTTAAGGTGACTTGTAGTGGAAGTAATGTTTCTTCCTTTGGATCTGTTCAGTATATAAAACCTGGCTAAAGATAATGTTTACGGTTTTGTTTTGTTTTTAACTCTTTACCCTCCCCGCGTTTACCTTCCTTGCTTTTTCTGGGGTCTTTCCTGAAAAAGCTGGAGCTCCCTGCCCTGATTTGAATGAGCAAGAGGAGGTCTTCAGCTTTCTGAAGGCGAGCACAGAATCCACTCTTTGGGGACAGCCGGAGTAACTTTTAAGAAGGTCACATGCGAGAAGGGAGCAGGCGGGTTTAAAACACCTCCGCTAAGACTCCCCTTCTCCCGGGCGCTTCCAGATTCCCCGCGACAGCGGGGGCGCGAG